AAAAAAAAACACAAGCAAACCAAAATAATAATATTAATAATACAACTAAAAAGAGTATAAATTCATTCAACGGGGAAATTTTTGTAAATATATGTAGATTGTTTTCTAATTCTGGTATTTTTGTTTTGGATTTCGTGTTTCCCTTGAATAGTTGAGCTCTTTCTTGTAATTTTTTGTTTGATTTTTGGTGTTTGGATAGCAACTCGATCACTTCTTGTCGTAGTTCATAGCTTGAGTTGTTTACCCCCTTTCAATTAGCTGTATCTGGTGTTTTCTCTGTAATTTTTGTGTTAAATTATGTGTGAATTGGACTTGTAAGCAGAGAGGGCTTTCTGGGTTCTCGAATCTCTGTGTTCCTTCGTTTGCTGGAAATCTGTTTTGAGGAGTTCTACTCATATGAGTTGTTAATTGGGGGAACGGAGTGCTTTGGATGGAATAAACAAGCTCAATTGTTTTGGAATTTGATTGTGTTTGCATGTGAAGTTTTTCCAAGTAGTCTTGTAGTGATTGGAGTCTCAGATTTGGTGCGAAGGTTAAATGATCTTAAATTTTGAGTGATTCTTTGGTGCTTGGATCGATTCTGGTTCTGATCGAGTCAGATTCTGCAGAGCTTGGAAGGAGATGAATTTCAAGGATTTTGGGAGTGACCCATCCGCCGGAAACGGCGGAGGAGGCGGAAGACCTCCGGCGAACTATCCATTAGCGCGACAATCATCGATCTACTCGCTGACCTTCGATGAGTTTCAGAGTATGGGGAGTATAGGCAAGGATTTCGGGTCAATGAACATGGATGAGCTGTTGAAGAACATTTGGAGCGCCGAAGAAATGCAAACCATGGCATCTTCTGCTGCTGCTGCTGCTGCCAAAGAAGGGGCTGGTAGTGTTGGTGGTACTGGTGGGTATTTGCAGCGACAGGGCTCTTTGACGTTGCCTCGGACACTCAGCCAGAAAAAGGTGGATGAGGTATGGAAGGACATAATAAATGAACATGCTGGGGCAAAAGAAAGCAATACTGTTGCTTCTAATTTGCAACAGAGGCAACAAACTCTTGGGGAGGTGACACTTGAAGAGTTTTTATTCAGAGCTGGAGTGGTGAGAGAGGATACTCAAGTGACGGGAAACACCAACAATGGAGTGTTCTTTGGAAATAACACTGGTTTTGGAATTGGTCTTCAGCGCCAGGCTAAAATTCCGGAGAATAACAATCACCTTCCGATTCAGTCGTCAAACTTATCGTTGAATGTCAATGGAGTTAGAGCACATCAGCCGCAGCCAATATTTCCAAAGCAGACTACTGCTGTGACATATGGATCTCAGTTGCCTTTACCCAGTGATGGTCAGCTGGCTAGTCCAGGGATTAGAGGTGGAATTATGGGGATTTCGGATCAAGGATTGACCTCAAATTTGATGCAAGGCTCTGCTCTGCAGAGTGGAAGGATGGGAGTGGTTAGTTTAGCAGCTGGGCCAATACCGGTTGGAACAGGATCGCCAGCAAACCAACTATCATCAGATGGGATTGGAAAGAGCAATGGTGATACCTCGTCCGTGTCTCCCGTGCCTTATTCGCTTAATGGTGGATTGAGGGGGAGGAGAAGTAATGGGACTGTGGACAAGGTTGTCGAGAGGAGGCAACGGAGAATGATAAAAAACAGAGAGTCAGCTGCTAGATCGCGGGCTCGGAAGCAGGTGATCTGTGCAATGTAACTTTGTTAATTGTTCTTAACCATATGACTTGAATTCTTGTTGACTTATTTATAAGTTGCCATGTGCACCTGGAGTTGTGAAAACAGTGTCATTGCAAGCTAAAACAATGTGTGAAACCAACCATTTGATGCATTTGTGTTCCCATTTACTTTATCCATGTCCCCCCATATGCTTCATCCATGTGCTGCTCTATTCTTTATTAGATGCAGTTGTAAACGATATACTATACCATGGAGCAGATTTCACTATTAGCTCTGCCATCTTATTTAACAAATGTAGTTATGACGTTGCAGATAAGACATCTCCCATTCTAACATTTCCAAATTGTTTTCCTTGAAACTGGAGATATTTTATTTGTGGCTGTGTATTACCAATATTGAATTGGAACACATGACCGTATAGTTTTATTTCAACTTATGAACGCTTGCTAGCTAACCACCATAGGGCTACTTTTTAAGTCATAAGCTAAAGTGGCCATCTATCTAAGATATTAATATAATATGTATTCTATTGAGATTAGTTGAGATGTATGGAAGCTGGTCGAATACCCGCAGTCATCAAAAATTGTATTTGCAAGCCTCTAACCTTCAATTGCTAGATTAGTGTCTTGGGCATGCCGTGTTACAAAATTTCACCATGTATGATACTTTGGGCTATGATACAATTTTTTGAACTACATGTCATGCTGAAATTCACAATTAGACATTGATGTTGGCTTTATATTGATGGAGATCCTTTTGTCTCTCCTGCTAGGCTTACACAATGGAATTGGAAGCAGAAGTTGCAAAGCTAAAAGAGGAGAACCAAGAACTCCGGCAAAAACAGGTATGTGGAATGTCCCAACGCCAAAAGAGTGAGCTTTGTTATTAAATTAACGGGCTTCACCAATTCTCAATTATTATTTTGTGTGGTTGCTGCAGGAAGAAATCATGGAAATGCAGAAGAACCGGGTACACTTTCCCCCTTGGTACTTTTATGTAGTAGTAATGGGTGTCTACATGCACGTTAGTATGTTACCATTACAATTAGACTATTTCTTTTGTTCTTGAAGAATGTCAAGAAGAAGATTATGAGGATCGCTATCCATAGTTCTTCTGATTTTGTATCGTAACGATGATCTGTGACATTCATATTGTATTGTATCTTTTCAATTTCTAGGAGTGATTATTCCTTTTAGAGTCCTAACAATTTTCTCATACCTTTTTCTTCCAAAAAATCATTTTCTTCAGTCGTGTGCCAATTTTGCACCTAGCTTGTGTTGATACCAGTGGTATGCCCTTTGTATTTTCATCTAGTTATTTAACTGGTGTAGACTGCAGTGGTTAGTATACTATAGTAAAAATTCCTTTTTATGTAATCATATCTCTATCTTTGACTTCTCAAGATAATTGATGAACATGCTCTTAATACTGCAATTTTCTCCATGTGACAATCTCTGCTTTATATTGATCTTGGAAAAAGCAAATATTTCAAATCCTGGCATTTGATTATAGGCATTGGAACTAATGGATAAGCAGCAAGGAATCAAGAAGCGTTGCTTAAGACGAACGCAGACTGGACCGTGGTGATTCTGGAGGACGTTATGTTATCTGATCTCAGGCCAAAAGAATAATGTCATAGATGGTGGTGTACATATGATTTTTCTCTGTAGGTTGAGAGCTGTAGGTGTTGTGTAGACTACATCTCGTTCCAAGTGGGATCCCCAAGAGTTTGGTAGGCTTTTGAACAAAAGCAGAACATGCGAGGTTCGATACGTTTTCTGGAAATACTACTTCATACAGCTCCTCCAAGCTCCTGCCATCAATAGAGAAATAAGTTTTTTTTGTGGCATTTTCTGATATGGGCCTGCTGTTGCTGTGGTTGTGAGTAATGCCAATCCTGAATGCAGGATTCATATTGTTCAATTCATTAGCAATGTCAATGGCTGCAATTGCCATTTGAGTTTAGTATTCTGTAGAATGTTACAAAACAGGAGAGACTGTAGTTGCATCACCATGTTTTGTTTTTGACTTCTGCTTCAGTTGTAAGTTTTAGATTTTACTGCTCTGTCCAACTCCAGATTACCTTTACCATGGGACCAGACTCCTCTAGGGTAGGGAAACGCTTGCCTACGCACCGATCTGTACAAGCTTTTATTGATTTTTTGATGTTGCTTATTTTTATCAGCTCCAAAATATTAGTAGGACCTACTTATCTATTAAATTCAATAGAAATAGATGAATAAAAATTTTACGTAAAGAAGTCGTAGGCAAGTATCTTTTTTTTGAAGATATTTGATTTAAAATTGTAGTTGGTTTGAAGATTACGTCAAAGAGATGCTATTTGGCTTTGGGTTTGTAGCTGAAAAGTGAAAAGCATCACAGTGAGCTGAGCTCATACTCACTGTCTCACATTACTTATAGATCACTTTTCGTATTGTTTCCAAATTTGCAGGCAAAATTTATTGAACATCATTTGTCCACAATCACCCCCACGTCCTTAGACATTGAGTAGATTTTAATTGAGATGAACAAAGTTTAAATACTTTATAATTCTTGTCTTTATAAATATGTTTTAATTTTTCTCACAAGTCAAACAACACATGGTTTCAAAATTTTACTTAATAAGTGATGTAATTAACGTTTTTAGAATAAGTGATGTAATTAGCGTTTTTAGAAAACTAACCTTCAAAATTACCTATAAATCAATCATAAATCATACAAAATTCAACTATAATGACACCAATATGTAGTCACAAATCTTTTATTAGAAAAAAGGTTAAATATGCTGAGAGAGCCCCTAAACTTTGAGATAATTCTCAATTGGGTTCTTAGTTTTTAAAAATATTCTCAATCTTACTCTTAATGTATTAAACATTATCAATTAGGTCATTTCATTAAATTTTTGTTAACAAAAAGTTAATATATCATTAAATTACTATTGAATGAACATATTTGGATACATGAACATGCTTCTTGGACGCTACATGACACATATATAAAACTCAACATTGTTCGTTAGAAAATCCAACCTGTCAATTAATAAAATTCATTTCTTCTAAATTAGATCCCCAAGTGGTATGTTTACCGGTCTAAATAGACAATTATAACAATAATTTAATGATATATTGGTTTGTTCAACAAAGTTTGTTGTTAATAAATTTTAACACATTTCTGTAGTTAAGGACCTAATCACATTAAGAATTATAATTAATAATTTTGAAAGATTAAGAACCAAATTGAAAATTGCAAATATTAGAAGATCTAAATTGCACTAAAATTATACAAGTTTAAGGTTTAAAAAAATTGAAAGTTAAAAGTTAAAATTGTTTAACCCACAATTAAAAAAATTTCAATATTTTATTATATTCATATAAATTTGATGAATTGATACATGTTATTAGAAATTAATTATGATAGCTAAATTGATTTTTTTTGTTTATATATATATATATAATGATTAAATCAAGGATTACAATTTTGTTGGGGGTGCCGGTGATAGGGGTGTTTATAATCCCAACCGACAGATCGGTAAATGGTTATAAGGGTTGTGAGGGTGGTGGTACTCACTACTCACTGCTCATCACGCCTACCGACATGTCGGTGAACTGTAACGCCAAAACCAAACTTAACATTTCATCTCTTTTTTCTGTGGTCCTCTCCAAAGAAATTCAGAACATAACCCACCTCTATTCTCACCGACAATACTCTTTTTGTGCTTAAATCTTCAAATTCACTAAATGCTAAAATAATGAATATTTGAAATTAAATAATAATAAAAAAAAAACTTCTCCACAAATGAATGGATAAATATTATATAAAATTCAACCAACAAGCTTACTCAAATCAGATCGTAAAAATATACCTAAACTTAACAATAAAATATCAAACTCCAACTAACGAACGAGCGACCATCATTGAAGTGCATTTAAACAGAATACTAAGAATCAAATTTGAAGTTAGTCACAATTTTATTGACAAATGATGTTATAGTTCATAGGATCAATTGAGAGGAAAAAAAATTACAACTTATGAAATATAACAATTTTTAAAACTACGATGGTTTCTAGTTATAGAGTCTCTTTAAATACTTTCATGTATTAAAATTGTTGAAAAGAATTTGACCTTTCATGTACTTTAATCTATGAAATACTTTGACGCATGACGCAGGTACTATATTCATGATGATTTATTCTTTGATATAGTATCGATAAAATTGATCACTCTCACTCAATTGACAAAATTTATGTTCCAAAGGATCGAAAGAGGTATTTATGAAATAAAATATGATTGTTTTACATGCTCAGCAATCATACAAGTGAGAGTCTCATAAGTTCATGTAATCATGTCACAAGAGTTAAAATGATTTTTTATTTTTTTTGCCATCAGAATTAAGAGTATGGAGATATGTGGAAGATTTTGGTGGAAGCTTGAGTATGAATTTGATGTTGATAAATGTTGATCAGACATTGAGAATAGATATTCCAATTATTATTTGTTTAAAGGGAAAAATGATGCCCCATCACATTTTCAACTTTCAAGGTCAATCTCTTGGCATGCATTTGCTTGATTCTGTGGTCATAATAATTAATGGTTTTGCAGATAATTTTCATTTCTTTTATCTGCCCATCACATGCTCATGCACCACCCACCACCCTTCTTCTTTTCTTCCTTTATTTTCTCCATTTATTTAATAGGTTAGTAAGCTTTTAAAAATATCTAATAAATCCTCAATTTAAATTCATGAAATTATTAAATAAGAAATTGGAGTTTGTATCTAATAAATTCGAAATAAACAATGTCTAATAGAGTAGGGAATGTTAGACATAGAATTCAAAGTTAAGAACCTACTTTAGAGATCTATTAAAAACGAAGTTGAAAATTTAGAATCCTTTTTAATAACGTTCTCGTGTCTGGCAAGAAACATAACTTACGAGTTTTTCAATATACTTTTAACTGGCTAAAAATTGCCTTAAAAAAAAAAAGTCAAAAACACTATACTCTTTCAACCTAAAAAGTTTTAGAAAGGGAAAAAAAAATTATATATATATATATATATATATATATATAAACTTAACTATTCATAAAATAAGGACATCATGGGGACCAAGTTGAATGCAATAATGTGGTAAAACAAAATCTTGAATTTAAAGAAAAAGAAGGAAGAAGGAATCCAAGTTAGCTAAACTACTTGGATGCAGACAAGTGGGACAGAAATGGTGCCAGTGGCAGTAATTCGTTCAAACGGGGAGCCCAACGAACCTCAAAAACTTTTAAAATTAAACCCATGATTTCTTATTACACTTTTCAATTATACAAATCCGAACTTTTCCTCTACTTTACTTGCTCACGAGTTTAAAAAACAAGAAACAACTCTGTTTTTTACAGGCGTTAAGAATTAAGCGTCTAGTCGATGGAAACGGAGGGAATGATATTGCTAGGCTATGTTTTTTTAAGGTAAAAATTTCAAAAATAAATTAGATTCCAAGGAAGGAGCCCATCATCCCAAGAAGTAGAACTTGGACGGATCGTCCTTGTGTTGTGATTGATTCCCTCCACTACCCGCCACTTCTCTCGATATTATTGTTATTTTTTTCTCCTCTCTTTTCTCTCTCTGTGTGGGGATTGTACGACTGTAATGTTTATGTATGAAGGGAAGTAGAGTGAGGAAGGCGCCGGAAATGGGGTTTCAGGAGCAAACGGCGTCGTCCAGACCAGGCTTCAGAGCTCGCGATGCCAGCCCCGACTCTGTTATCTACGCTCTCGAATCGAGTTTCAGCCTCTTCTCCTCTTCCGCCTCCGCCAGTGTCGAGCGCTGCTCTTTTGCATCGGAAGCCCACGACGGCGATTCCCTCATCTCTGAAATCTCCCTAGTAATCTCATTTCCTTCTACGCCTCTCGTCTTTTTCGTGGGGTTTTCGCTTTTTCTGAGTTATACCTAAGATTAGAAACGAATTGGGGGAATTTGGGGAAATGGGGTTGTTTATTTTGAAGTTCGTTTTGGTGGGGTTTTCGTCTTTTCTGAGTAATGCCAGAGACTAGAAACGAATTTGGGGAATTGGGGGAAATGGGGTTGTTTATTTTGAAGTTGATTTTGGTGGGTTTTTCGTTTTTTTCTGTGTAATGTCAAAGATTAGAAACGAATTGGGGAAATTTCTTTGTCTATTACACTGTAATGAAATAAGGGTTTTGGAGGCGACGAATGCGGGTTGTGAAGAAGATTGATTAACATTTAACAATATATGAGATGGAAATAGAGAGGTGGGATTGAGAAATTTGCTGTGTGATTTTGATTGCAGCATTTGGCAGAGCATGATGAGGAAAAACACGAGAGTTGCGGTGGTCCAGATCCAGATCCAAACAAATCTACACTAAGCAACAAACACAGTCGGCTCTATACAAAGGGAGAAAAAGCAAAAGGTACAGCTAGATTTTATGCTGATCTGTGGCAAAAAAAGTAGAGTCTCACTAAGAAACGCCCACAGAACGAGCTTTTACCAATTTCAAAAATTCGATTCTAATTCGCTTTTCTCTTCCCTCTTTCAATATTTGCTAGTTCAAAAAGATGACAGCAATGTTGATTTAGATGATGAGAATAGAACCATCGATTCAGCGAGGAATTCCTTCTCTCTTGCCCTTAAAGGTATTGAAGATCCAATTCCCATCCACTTTTCTCGGTCTTTCTCTGCTTTATTTACTTGAACTGAACTGGGTTCATTTCTACAGAGTGTCAAGATCATAGATCTAGATCTGAAGCTCAATCCAGGAAGCTGGACAGAAGAAGACCTGCTTCATTGGATCTAAACAACGCCACTACAGCTTCCTCACCCCGTTTGGCGTTTGTCAAAAAGAACCCAGTAGCGTCGTCGCGCAAGACTGGGACATTTCCAAGCCCTGGGACGCCGAATTATCGGCACAATAGCTTTGGAATGCAAAAGGGGTGGAGCTCAGAGCGAGTGCCATTGCACAACAACGGCGGGCGAAAACTTGCTAATAACCCTGCATTACTGACTCTCAACAGCGGCAGAACATTGCCATCGAAGTGGGAAGATGCTGAAAGGTGGATCTTTAGTCCCGTATCTGGAGATGGGGTTGTGAGGAATTCAATTCCTCTTCCTCAACGGCGGCCAAAGTCAAAGAGTGGGCCACTTGGCCCTCCTGGTATTGCATACTATTCATTGTATTCCCCTGCTGTTCCTGCCTATGAAGGAGGGACTTTTGGTAATTTCATTACGGCATCACCATTTTCAGCCGGAGTGATATCGACAAATGGTTTGGCGGTTCATTCCGGTGGGCACGAAGGGGGTTTCCATGGACAAACAGAGCCCTCCATGGCACGCTCAGTTAGCGTTCATGGGTGCTCTGAAATGTTGGGTCAATTGTCATCTACAACAGGCTTACAAGAAGGTAAAAGCCACTCTGTTTTCTTCTCTTAAAGATGAATTGTTACAAATATTAAGTAAACCCCATTTATCATGTTATGCTGCATTATATTTACTGTATTTGGAAAATCACTTTTGTCATTGTCAAAATTACTTCGATCATGTTTGAACAATTATAAAATTGATTTTAAAAAAGCTTAAAATCACTTTAAACTGATTTTTTTTAAGGTATCACTTGCATGGCAATTTTGAAAAATCAATTATACTTAAATTTCTTTTTTCAAAATCACTAATTATACCCTCACTTCCAAACACACCCTAACTCAGTGATCCGTATGTTTTTCATGCAATTTTATACCACATCTCGATGCTCGAGTCCTCATTCAACATTAGACTGCTTTGGACTTAATTATTGATGTGAAGATAATATCTTGCTTGGAAACATGGTCTGTACTAGAGCAGTTTACTAAATTTATCCATGCTTCCTAATATTCTGTAGAATCAGGTGAAAATCTAACTACGGTCAAGGATTCAGCAACGGATATTTCTCGTGTTGTTTCAAGAAGGGACATGGCTACACAAATGAGCCCGGAGAGTAGTGCTCGGTCGTCTCCAAAGATGAAGCCATCCATCTCTGCCTCCAGTTCATCTGCTATGCATATGTTGGACCTGGGAGGTGTCACTTCTTCTAAATTGGAGATCAGGGATGTGCAAGTTGATAATCAGGTTACCATGACAAGATGGTCTAAGAAACACAAAGCGCCATTTCCATGGAAAGACTCTTTCGATGACAGGAGGAAGAAAGACGCCAATGTGGTTTCTCGATGTTCATATTTAGACGTTCCTAATATAGGAAAGAGTATTTCAAAGTATGTCTACCTGTCTGTGTCTCATGGGTCTGACTAGTAATAAATCCTACAATTCATTTATGTCAACGATTGATTTGCTGACTTGGTTTTCGTTTCCGTACTCGTTGCAGGGTTAAGCGGGAGGAGGCCAAAATAACTGCGTGGGAGAATCTACAGAAAGCAAAAGCTGATGCAGCTATTCGAAAACTAGAGGTTCTGACCAACTTATATCTCTTTGTTGACGTATAATTATATACTTTTCACAGTTATGACCAATGTAATTAGGCATTCTCTTATGTTCTTTAACGTGTGGGAAATGTTGGATAATATGATAAGAACTTGTGCTTTTTACTCCTACTCATCAAGAGTTATTTGTCAGATGAAGCTGGAGAAGAAGAGAGCGACATCGATGGATAAGATAATGAATAAACTGAAATCTGCTCAGAAGAAAGCCCAAGAAATGAGGAGCTCTGTGATGGAAAACCAGTCCCCCGAAGATACCAGGACATCTTCTATAAAGTCGCTATCTTTCTATCGAACCCGTCATATGGGTTCACTAAGTGGTTGTTTCACCTGCCATGCTTTCTAGTACTCCATTCATTCACCAAATTCCTTGTTATGGTCACTCTACCAGGTGACACTTCTATCTCGGTTAGACTTAAAATCGAAGGTGTCGTAGTAATTTATAGTTACTTTAAGGGGAAGATCTGCAGACTTCAAGACTTCAAGTCACAATCATTCGTCGAAGTTTTCCATTAATGATGATCGAGTCGATCATTGACTTGTTTTGTCAGATGGAGTTGATATCAACTGATAAATGGCATCCCATCCGAGAATGTGGATCAACGTTGTATAGATCAATAGCCCGCTGCTCCTGCTGCTGCTTCCACATGAATGTGGTGCCGATGCAGTTGTCTCGTGGCGTGGTTAGTTATTCTACCGAAGACTTCATAGCAAACTTCATGGGAGCTGAAGTATCAGAAGCTTTGGTAGCCAAGTTTCATGGAGTTTTTCGTGCAGGTTTGTAACTAAAGTGAAGTAACCCTCCTCACTATCGTTGTCCGTTGTCTCATTTTTAACAGGTTTTTGTTTTGTACTAAATTATAGTTGTTAAAGGATTGATGTTGGTATATGCACAAAAGTTTAATTCAAAGCCTGCTTTCTCTCTACATTCTCATCTGTTGAACAATTGACCAATTGATTATTAGTTTGGTTCTCTCCTTCATTCGGATTTCAGCAATATCTAATCTAATCCAGAGAGGGGTGGTTTTAATATTGCTTTGTTTTGATATTTAAATAATTGATTAATTATGATCAACTATTTAGAACTATCGGGTATAACTTATAAGTTAAATCTTACTTTTCGAAACTCAGTCAAATATATAAGTAGGTCAAAATTAATTAAGGATCGTAAATCTAATTTACCTTGTTTTCTTTTTTAAAGAATATGTCATGACTTTTTTAAATATAAGATTGTGCGGGTGAATTTTTAAATTACATGCCTTGGTAAAGAAAACACCTATTATTCTTGAGATCAAAGGTCTAATCTCTTGCTCCAAATTTGTATTGCAACAAGAAATAGATATTCATATATTAGAGAAATTTTAATTAATATAATTATTAGTTTAGAATTTTAATTGATTCAAATTTAGGTAATTTTTTGAGGATATAAATTGACATTTTTACCTCAGAACTTATTATTTGGTCAAATTATCCCTAAAATATGCGAGTATACGTCTAGCTATCTACCGAAACAAAACCGACGGAGATAAGATTAATGCAACACCAATGGAGATAAGATTAATGCAACCTTTGGATGAGCTATTTTCTACTTAAAAAATGGATGTGCCATTTGAAAAGTTCTTTTTTTTTTTTGTGTATATTTGAAAAAGTCTTAAATGTAATAGCAATTTTATGAAAATGTTTACCTATAAATATTTCTGAAAATTATAAATATTTCTTACTGGTAGAAAGATCTCTAGAGTTTTCAACTTTGAATTTGTTGAAGACTTCAATTATGCGGCTTGATGAAAGTCTTCGATTATATAATTTGATGAAGTTCTTCAACTTGCATATTTAATAAAGTTGTTCGACTATGCAGGTTGATGGAGTACTCTTGGACGTGTTGCTTGATGAAGTTCTTCTTGTCCCTTTCTCTTGTTCCTTGTAAAATACTCGTGGAAGATTCTGATTGTGCGTTGATACCCCTCAATTCTCTTTGTGTCTATAAATTCGGATTCCTCAAATGAGAGGACATCATTTATTTATAGTCTTAATGGTCTTACGTGGGCTTTTTTCTCGTGGGCTTTTTTCTCATTGGCTTACCTGATTGAAGTCCAATCCTCTTATGAATTGGTTTCTTTAGTCGATGTCAACGTACAATCACGAGGAGGACAAGTAAATTAGATTTCAAAATTAACTTGGAGATGTATATTTGTTATTGGTCCCAATATGATTTTGTCATCTATTTAAAATAATGATATGGCACGTAATTGATCACGTCTATATTAATGGTATTTTATTGTATATATTTTGTCAACTATTTTTTATCATAGTATGAAAATGTAGTTTTATCTTCGATGTTTTATATGAAGATATGTCAGAAATGTCAATAAAAATTTACAAGCAGTGCTGTTAATTGTGATGTTCCACTTGCAGCGCCACGTGGATATTTACGTGACGTGCGAGAAAGAGGTTCGGTGATTTGACGTCGGAGATCGGAAACACCGTACACGTGTTGGGACGGAACCCATCAGGTAAGAGTAGACGACGTCATCATTGTGGACACAATAGTAAAAGCACCTCCCACCACTCCCTGTCAGATTTTCATGTGCACTTCACGTGCATCTTTTCTTCATTTTAATATATTTTATATATAGTGGTTTGGTCCAGGTGTCAGATTATTACCAAGCTAAAATTCATTTTATTGCCAGAATAAAATAAAAAGTAAAATCCAGGCAGATAGCATTGAAAAGGAAAATTAAATTTATATAATATAATATAACCACTGCAAAAAGCAATAGCCAATGAGTATCTACTGAAGAAGGTGGTTGTTGACTGAAATAGTTCATTTTGGTTACTGACAGTATAAAATATACATTAAACCTTTTTTTTTCTTTTTCTTTCGGAAGTTTAAATAGATTAAAAATAAAACTATTTAATAAACAAGTAAATTTTTAAATATTTTGTACCAACAAAAGTATGTCACATCAAAAATTTATGAGTAAGTATTTTCCTAACTTAAACAAGGCTATGATTACAGACATGAAGAATGAGAGGAAAATTAAAATCAGTTTTAACCTTTGAAATTTTGAAAATTCACACATAAAATAATACTTCTATGTAATCTTTATGGCTAATAATCTAAACAATAGTGTGACATATTTAGATACAAATAAAAAATAAAGTGGTGTATGATATATAATCTAGAGAAAAACTTCCTATCTTAATCACATTCTTAACCTATGGAACGTAATTAGACTAACATCATGATATTTTTCCTTATTTTTCTATTTCCAAATGTTTTTCTCCCAAGYCAAAATTAAAAAAAAAATACTTAGGTTTCTTKGTAGTAAGAGCCTTTCCCCCTTTTTAATATCATTCAATATTTGACAATCAAGGAATAAAATATAAAATAAAAAAATTTAAAATATTAAATTGTGAAATATTTAATGGTATTAARAAARAAGGTTTTTGTAGYAGGGGTGAGATATTTGACMATCAATGATAGAATGTAAAATAAAAAAATTAAATATTAAATTGTCAAATATTTAATGATACTAAGAAAGCAGATTTTTTTTAATACGTGTGGGAAATTCGAATGACATCTTCAAAGTGCTCTTTCCTATCAAAGAATCAAGTATTTATTTACAAGTATAAACATTTGATCTACTTTTTTTTAAGTTTTTCTTTTGTTTTTTGTTTTCTGTTGATGCTATAAGTATTTGGTCTGACCATTAATGAGTACCAAGCATATACTTTTTTTTTCCACTACAGTAAAAAATCTCAAACTCTATTTTAATTTCTATTTTTAATTTTTTTTCCCGTAACTACAGCACATATCATCGATCTAAAGATTGAAAGTTCAAATTTCACCCATATATTTTAAATTGAAACCAAAATAAGGAAGAAAAAGTATCCAAATAGTAGCTTGAATACATATAACSTTGTCCATTCAAATACGTTTTTGCAAATATCTTCCCTTTTTTATTTCCTAAATTGGTAACCTATTCATCAATCTTTTTTCAGTGCTGAAASAAACATGAACCAAAACAAAGATTCTCTTTAGAAGTACTTTGGCAGCAGCTTCTGGGTGATGGATGTCTCTATCACAACATCACTCCTACAATTTACTAATTGGAAACACCCATCAATCCGACATGGATCAACACCAAATTCCACACATA